CGCTACTGCTGATAAGAGGGGGGGAGAGATTCATTAGAAAACACAGTACACCTGTACACAATCAGACTCTCTCCCTGGCACCAATCCCTGAGCCACCTGCCTACTCTCCCCCTCTTGCAACCGACACTGACCATCCCCCACTATTACACTCAGAAATAATCGGTAGGTGAAAAACAAATGCAAGTTTCAATATAAGATAAGAGAATATTGAAAACAGTTGCATAGTCTAAGAACTGCGCGAGAGGTATGGGCTGTTAATGCTGGAAGCATCATAGTCAATAAAACTGTTGAACCAGCCAGAAAAACTTTTGAATAAAACAGTCAAGTTAGATAATTTACAAAACAAAGATTTGGGTTCGTCTTTAGAGCTTTGCCAAGCTCTGATGCATTAGTCACCTATCTTTTAAGAGTGTGCAGCGAGGGCACGCAGCTCTGGGGTGGCTGTCCCCGCAATAACTGCAAGAATTAGATTGCGAAGCTTAGGAGATGGCGTGGGAAGAATGGGACTCCTGGTGAAGTTGTAGGAACACAAAATCACAAAATTCTGTGCGGCTTGATGTAGAATGGCAGCACGCTACTTACCGTGCTCACGGTGGAAACAGCAGATGGCCCTGGAGGCGGTGTTGAGGTTTGTGGAGAGTTTTCTCGGTTCCCCCTGATATGTGTTGTGAAAACTCAGTTTCAATCTTGGTCCAAAAATTCAGTCGAATGAAAAACAGGAGAAGTCAACTCAAAGGCAACAGAGTTTATTGTCGACAAAAAACCAGAGAGCATTCAGTAGTGAGCCTAAGCAGCACCAGAAAAGAACTCTGCTTAACAGTGGTGTGGCTCCTTCTTATAAACCCTTAGAGGCCACACCTGTCAGCATTTCATTGGTCTAACATTACATTGTGGCCTAAGCCCATATGTTACTGTTGGGACTTCCCACTTGAAGTCCTTGACACCATTATCTTTTATTTTTTTAAAAGACCTTGTGATTACTCTTGACACCATTATGTTCTGTTCAAACCGTTCACTATTTTTTCAAACACATTGTGATTACTTTTGACACCATTATGTTTCAGTTTTGTCAGATTGACCTTTTTAAAAAGATTATTATTACTTCACACAAGGTATACATAAACATCATACTGTTTGATACAAACGGAGTATATTGTTCGATTCATTGTGTTACACCTGCTGTAATCATTAGCAAATTATGTTTTAACACACATAAGATTGTAGTGCAGATTAAAGGTATATAGTGACATTCATATTTGACATAGTATAGTTCGCTTAGCGAGGATGCTAGCCTAAGGGCAAGAACAACTGCTGATATTGTAGCTCTCTTCTGCTCTTCCTTCCGACCTTTCCTCATCATCCTGAGTTGTAAGATGCAGTTTTCATCGATGAGGGATCCTTCGTCTCTCCTGAGATGAGGCATGATGAGCGTGGAGCAGATGAGTAGAGCGATGAGCCAAACTACACTTTTAGCGATCATAACCGTGCTTCACGAGTTTGCAAGGTGCCGGCAGCAGGGCATCAGTGGCAGAGCAGCTGAGCAGGAATCAGTGAGGATGAGGTCATATTTAAAGGGACTGCTTTGGTGAGAGAATGGGCTGTGATTGGTGGGTGACTGATCAGTAGCTGACAGCTTATGACAGCTGAGCACATGACTCCATGTCTTGTGACTAATTGATCTGTTAATAATTTGTTGCAACTCTATATAGCTGCTGTATAGGGAAGAGTTGGACAATTGTCTACTGTATGTGGATGATAGACTATTTCTTACAGGGTTCTGGTTCTGGTGAGTAATAGGTGGAGATAGGGTTGCATTGGCATTTAGTAAACAAGTGCAGTGTCCGTTGTAAATCCGTCAGTTTGGAATGGGCTATTTGCCTAAACTGTTGTAAGGCTGATTTTTAATTCAATTCAATTTTGTTTTTTTTCACTGGTTACCTTGTGTACCGTACTGTGAATGGATCGGTTCCAGTCTACATCCAGAGCATGGTTAAAGCTTACACCCCAGCTCGGCTTGCTGATACCTCACCATGAGCTAGCCACTCAACAAAATAATGACTGTTTGCTGTCCTGGCTCCTAAATGGTGGAACAAGCCCCCCATTGACACCAGGAGAGCTGAAAGTCTTCATATCTTCCACCGCAGATGATGTCTAATAACCATCATCAACTCTGGTGTTTATATGAAAAAAATATAATAATAATGATTAAGTTTAGTTGCACTTAAATATGGCACTTACATGTAGCACTTGTAGTTTGGCTTTTTTGCCGCTAATGTACTTAAATGATTCTTGTTGTTCTGGGTTTGTACCCTCATGGTTGAATGCACTTATTGTAAGTCGCTCTGGAAAAAGGCGTCAGCTAAATGATTTGTAATTTAATTTGAGAGGAAATAGAAAAATGAATAATAAAAATTAAATAATAATAATGCAGAGTTATTGACATAAATAAATGTGGAGGGGGGTAGAGAGACAGAGAGAGGGAGAGAGGAGTGGTCAGTGCATGATGGGAGTTTATAGAAGCATAACTAAAGGATGGTTCAGGGCTCTCCTGATATTTGTCAATGTACTCTTTCCATTCCCTTCATCCATTGTTCTACTTCATCCCTCCCTCTGCTCATCCCTACCCACATATCCTTATCCTCCTCCCTACCTATATCCCTTAATCATCCTTCCCTTATCTGTACCCTCATTCTTTCATCTTCTATTCCATCCGTCCCTCATCCCTACCCTGATCCCTTCATCCTCCTTTCCGTCTCTTCATCATCCTTTCTTTTTCAGTTTGGTGCATACATGTAATCAGCTCAAGTCGAATGATGTGTAAGACGGAAGACCCAAACTGAGTCTCGTTCTGCCTGGTCACCAGTGCATCCTCCTGGCAAGCCAAGCATACACATGTCACTTTGGTGACAAGGTTCTTGCTAGTGATGGTGGGTTACTGGGGCCAGGACATAGTAAAAGGTCCTGTAATGCTCCGGTGTGTCCTCCTTCTAGAGTTGTCCTGAAAACAGCAGCAGTGACACTCACTCTATACATCTCTGGAGATTCTCCAATGAAGCACAGGAGCAAATGGAGTGGCTAAGAGCTTTACACTACCATGCCAAAAATACTCTAGTCTGTGTTTGAGTGTGTGCATGCATGTGTGTTTGCTTCTAGCCAGCAGCACTTGTCAAAGCCCTAGAGCAGTCCACATAGCGATGCTTTAAGAAGAAAGTAGTCAGCCTTTTCAACAGTATGCCTAATAAATACTGCTGTCAAAGACAGACACACACACACACACCTCGCAGACACAAGCTGGTGTAGACAAAGCATAGTTTTCATGCCACATACAGTGACACACACAAGGCACAAGAAAGCAGAACCACACACACAGACACGCTGAGGTTAGATGATTTTTGAGTAGACTTTCCACTGGCAAGGCAGCATGGGATTAGATCATATGTTTAACAGATTGTCTTTGGCCTTGATATCCCCCCACCCACACATCCCTGTTTCACATTTTTTCACAGGCCTATCTAAAAGCCTGTGGTCGGGCAGCTGTTTACTCATCCTTTCTGCATTTAGATGAAAGGAACAAAGTGCTTTATTAGAACATGGGGTGGGCTGTCAAGAGCTCTAATGAGGCAGCTCATTGCTGTGTGCACGTGAGTGCATGTGTGTGTGGGTGGGGGGGAGATGTGTACTGTACCTTTAGAGTCTCAGAGGATGACATTGCTCCAAAATGAGGCCTCCTAGTTTCGAGTATTTTTTAGCTTTGAAAGTCAAAATATTTAAGAATAATATCACGTCTTACTGAGACATTTATCTACAGCTACAAGTTTATATGCCACATCGAACCAAACTGCTGTGAGGCATCTGTGATAGTCAAAGCTGTTTGACTCCACTATTACTTATTTTTCTGAGAGCTGATGGAATACAAGTACTTGTTGAAACTTGATCAGGTAAGAGAAACTATTATAAGGTCAACATGTAATTTCTCCATCCTGTTTTGCCATCCCATACTTACTACATGTCAAAATAAAGTTATTCTTCATGGAACTACATCACATCCACAAGATAAAGTTGTGTTTACATAAGTCACATACGCCATTTTCATGACCTGGAGGTAAAATCCGGAGAATTGGCTACGGAGTTTACCAGCAGTTAGCCTTTCATATATGCACAACACAGCGGGAGGTTCTCTGCACAGATACATTCACAACAGCAACAAGTCCTCTGCATTATTCAGGTGAGAGGTGGAGCAGCCGGGTGCAGCAGACAGACCCAGGACATAACGTATTAAATCCGGTGCGGTGATCATGTGATTTTCTTGACAACACACAGACATTCAACTTTTATCAACACAAACTCTCTTCATATCTTTGTCTGTGACTTCTACATGTGACTTCTACTTCTCCTGGAGTTCTACTGACATTATACAAGGAGGCCAGGCAGAGAAAGGCTGCAGAAACTGTGGAGTTTGGTGCATGTTTGAAAGCATCTCTAAATTTTTGCAATGTGTCCAGGTTGTGTGATGTAAGAAGAATTTAGTGGTTACCCTGGATAGTCCTTGCTTTTTTCGTCCAAGGCAGTAGGAACCCGTTGACACTATGTTCTTTGGGTATTTCAAGGACCTACATTCAGGTCAATGTGGGAAACTCTTAAGCATGTTAAATAATATTGTGTTAATAAGTGCCAACTGGAGATGGGTTGGTGTGCTATGGTAGCTGTGTGTTTGTGTTTGTTACATGCTCTCCACCCCTTTCACTCTTTTACTTTTTGTGTTGAGGACTCCTGCTATTAGGAAAGGAAAGGAAAGTGAAAGTTTTTGGCTCAGCCATTGCAGTAATAACAGTCTTGATGTTACTTTGTATACATTATAATTATCCTCCTTTTCAAGACATTCACCACAGTCCTCTCTTCACTCAAAAATACATCTGTATAATGAGAACAAAAAGGGTAAAGGCATTAAAAGATATAAATAAACAGAAAGTGTATGCTCTCTATTTCTCCTCCCCCATCAGGAATGATCTACACCACTGATATGCTGGACCGAGAGACCAAGGATTCGTATTGGCTAACTGTGTATGCCAGTGACCATGGTGTGATTCCCCAGTTCACTACTATCGAGGTGTTCGTCCAAGTGGAGGATATTAATGACAATGCCCCATTGACCTCAGAGCCACTGTACAGACCCTCAGTGCCTGAGAACTCTCCACGTGATGTTTCTGTAATCAAGATTCAAGCCCAGGACCCTGATACTGTGCCCCCTGCTGCTGCTGACAGGCTCAACTACCGCATAATCAGTGGAAATCCACAGAACTTCTTCATCATCAACAGCCGCACCGGTGAGTAAAGTTGTGTGTGTGTGTGTGTGTTTGTGTGTTTTTCTGTGTATTTGTGTCTGAAATCTATCTTATGAGTAGTTTCCAGGCAGAAACATCATGAATTGTCCTTCCAACATCTCAAACTGTTTTGTAGTGCTTGCTTGACAGACCTCTAAATTAAAAGAAAGGAAAATAATTAACAGCAGTAATGTTAATAATTCAAACGTGTATATAAGCCACACACGAAAAGTAATAAAGCAAAATCAGTCCTCCTGAAACAGGGCTCATTATTGCCATGGAATAATTCTTGAGTAGTTACATCTCCCACACACATGAATATATAATGCTGCACAAAACCTAGACACAATGTCACATCTGTGGCTCTGTTTGTTTTTGACTGCATTAAACAATTTGAGGACAATCAAGCAGTTCACTAAGCATGCTTTAATAGTATGTCACAAATTCCGGGGGGCTTTTTTTATATATTCACGTCTTGATTTAGTCTTTGATTATGTCCTGGCCCGCCATGTACTGGCTTAGAAAAAAGTTGGTCGGCATACTTACTTGCAGACATCTGCTGTAAATGAATCTTCTCTGTAAATCCTCCTCTGTATGTTCACTCAATGAATATTACTGCATTGGTGTCAGCTGACAGTAACATAAACACCGGCTGGATTAAGAATGATGTCCAAGAAAGATAACGTGATATAACACATTTTTATACCTCCATGCCAAAATGTTCAATTGGAAGCAAAGATAAAACAATTTTGGTGGCCGAAGGTCACAAATCAAGGTCACAGTGACCTCATGTTCTTGGGAACTCTTGTGTGTCTGGTCAAAAAAATTTATGTCAAGAGTTGATTGAACCTGCACCGGTTGTCTGATGCATACAACTACAAGGCATTTATCCTATTTTTATAAAGAGTTTCAATCATCCCTTTATTGAAGTGCCAGATTCTTGGATGTGGTTTAGGGGGATTTTCAGGTTGACATTGACGTTCAAGTTATATAGTAAACAAGCCACGGTAACCGAGCTGATGCATGCTAACTACACTGAAGTGTATAAGAAATGTTACACAACTTTATTGCCAACTCTTAATATGAAGTAAAAGCTAAAAACTATGTTGTATTAAGTTGCTGTAAATTCATCACTTCTAAGCAGAAGGCAGAAGGTAACATTTTCTCTGAACCTGACTGGGCACTCTGTGTCCAGGTCTGCAGCTGCTTGTACCTGACATCTTTACTTAGTGGACAGGATGACTTGAACATGTATTTACCACAAGTGAATATTCTACTGCATAATTATTATGACATTGGGCCTCATTCACCCAGAATTTTCTTAAATTTGATCTTGGAGAAGTTTTCTAAGAAAACTTTATGTCAGATTCATGACACCATCTTAAACTGCAAAATTGTTCTCACCTGTGTGGGACGGAGGGTTTTATCTTTCTTATCCATGAGGAAGAACCCCGCCCCTGCAGTAGATGATGAAGGTCTGAGGATTCAAGCAGCTAATGAGGCATCGATGTATTCTCACCTGGCCTTGGTGTCAGGGGCAGACAATGAATACCGTTGGCCCTTGGGTGGTGCTGTTCCAGGGAGAAGCTCAATAGCGCAGTCATAGGGCTGGTGAGGTGGTAGTGATGTGGCCCACGCCTTAAAGAACACCTTCCAGAGATTGTGGTAACAAGCTGGAACAGTGGAAAGATGAGGAGTCTCCCTTTCCACAGGGACAGTTGTGAGAAAGGAGTCAGAAGGGCTGTTCTGAGGGGGAAAACAACTCCTCACATACCTCTGGCCCCACCTGAAGATCTCTCCAGTGGACCAGTCTATATGACGATTGTGCTTGCAGAGCCAAGGGAAACCCAGGATGAGAGGGTGCAGGTGTGTAGAAAACAGGTGGAAGCTGATTATCTCGGTGTGGTGGTCGGGGGGAACTGGACCTGCACCAGTTGGGTGTGTTGATGAACCTTGCACAGGAGACGACCATCCAATGTGCTGGCCTCCAGGGGAGATAACAATGGTGGGATCAGGTGCGCCAGTTTCTCAGCTAGCTGAAATTAGTGTCCACCAGCGCAGGTAGGCTGAGAAAGAGAGAGGAGGAGGTCAGGATAATGGAAAGGTGAGCTTGGGAAGGACAGTAAGGGAACTTGGTATGACTCAACAGAGTCCTCTGTCTCCCTGAAATCTTCTCTCTCGCTGAACAGATAGCCAGGAATTGTCAAATGTCAAAGATCCAGGGGAACTAAGGGATCTTTGAGAGAGGCTGTTGAACAGAGTGGCCTGATTCCATCCGCTCACTGCCGCTAGGGTCCGGAACTCGATGGCATAGTTGGCCGCTCTTCTCTTTCACTGCCGGAGCTGGTCGATCGCTTGGGCTGCCTCTCGCCCTGGAGCAAACATCATGAGAACCTTTAATGAAGCTTTGCACTGATATGATATGAAATGGTGTTATCTGAGGAAATATGATATAGTGAAAGTATAAAGTGATAGATGAAAACAGGGACACAAACAAAATCTAGAATAAGAAGCTGTAGAAACAGTAGAAATAATATCCAAATATAAAAGTGAGGCTAAGGGTATAACATAATTATGTTTTTATTACATACTGATATATACTGATCTGTTCGTCACAAAACAGACAAGCTCCGCAGTATAGGTTACCATGGTGATCTACATTTGTTACCATGGAGATTAAACCCAGTTAAGAGTGAGCCAACTGTATGGTATAAGAAAACCTGAGTTTAAGCCAAACATGCCAGAATAAGTCTCCATTCAAACAATGGAAATGGGCTAACACCACTTTCTTTGAGAGTTGAATGTTAGTTGTTGGTTGTTAATGTTATTATGCCCACATCATATGTGATAATATATGTCATCATACAGTATTAAACAGTTATCATAAACGTTACCCTGGCTGATGGCAAATGTTAATGTTAGCTGTTTAACAATTAGCATTTACCCGCCTGTTAAGTTATCATTAAGCTAGCAGCTAATGGCTATGGCTAATAATAAAACAAATGACATTAATGTGGGAGCTAGACAACAAACATTATAAGTCCTACCCATCTGTAAAGGTTAATAGACTGTATATTTAACAGGATAACACAATTCTTTGTCTGAAAAGTGTCATGTTTTTTTAACTGAGAAAAGTCGACCTGCAACTGGACATAAACAGTGATTTGGTATTTAGTTGACATTTACCGTTTTTATCTTAAATGCCATTCACATGGGCGATGATAGCACTACAGTGCACACTGTACATCTAATTGGAGAAAGCTGGTGCAGTTCATGTGCTGAGGGAAATAATGAAGAAAGGAGAAGAAGTTAGAAAAAAGAGAAGAAACAACAACTACAGCAGCTGTAGCATCGTCTGTAAACATGAACAAACATACATACACACACACACACACATCCCCTCTACATGCTGCCTCACACAGTTTGGTCTGCAGATAAGGCTTGTGGTGGAGAGTGGGGGAGATATAACTGGCTGCTGCTATATTTGTCCTTTCTGTCAAGATCCCTTTGCTTTGAACTTGAACATTTTCTACCAATTCATCTGGAGCTATTCCTCCCTCTTCATTTGTGCCTTTATTTTAGGGATTTTGCCACTTTGTATTTTGTATAGTTACCTTATATCACCTCTTTTCTCTGCATTATCCTGTCATAAACTTTTACACGCAACATGTGCCCTCAGACAATCTCCTTTGTTCTTCTAATCATTGTTAGCCATGTGTCTCAGTCTCGATTGTGGATGTAGAATATTTGTTTCTGTTTTTATGAAACACTGATGAGGGTCCATAACTCATCCGTAAACCCACAGCCCCTCTGACATTTTTTCCCGTGTTCATTTCTTTTGTCCATCTACTGACACTTTGTCTCAGTGCATGAGGCTCAGCCCAGTCCATTTGTTATTGTTTTATGCTTCTGTGCTGGCAACAACTAGTGGCTGGAGGTCTACGGAATTTCTGCAAATTTAGTTCAAATATACAGTTCAACTGAAGGATTAATTTATTTAATTTTGGTGGTAAAAGCTCAAAGGTCTCATGAACACCTGCAGGGTATCTTTTCAGATTTATGAATGTTTACTTGGGCTCACAGATGAAGAGATTACAATTTGAGAGTGAAAGGTCAAGATCATTGTGACACAACAAAACATGATTTTGGTCTTATGAATGCAATATCTCAGCAAATAAACAATGTCTGTCCTATTTTTAATAGCTGTCAGTTGGACTCAAAGATAAACTGATTAGATTTCAGTAATAAAGGTTGATCTCATATGAGTTGGTGCAATTTGGACATGTGATATGTCCAATATTTAAAATATTTTATTACACAGATAGCCAGCACACTGTAGCAGTAGTGGCAGGGCATTGCCTTCAGTGTATGGAAGGGTCACTGGAACCCTAGTAACATTCATATATTTCAAACAGGAAAATACAAAACATTACAGACAGTGTCAGCTTGCAAAGTGCACAGTGTAGAGTGTGATTAGTGTCAGTTGTGCTATATCACTTTGTTTCACTGACCTCGATGCTCCCTGAGAGGGATTGTGAAATCCTTAAAGCCCCATTGATCACACAAGGTCCTGTAATAAATTTCTTTCTGTCTTCTTCATGTGCTTCAACTCTTCTCTGTCCTCTCTTCTTCCCACTACTGTCAAAACATTTTGGTTGTGTTGTGAGCAGATCACAGCACTCAACAGTTTTAACTCTTTCACAAAGGTCATGTTTTTATCTGATTGTTCGTGACATACTGAAACCTTTGACCCTGTTACCTGTGTGCACCACATAATCAGAACAGTGTCACTGTGGATCCACCCAGATATTACTGTAGATATATTAATTCAGAGACTGCAGAACTGCAGCAGTGCAACTGCACCTAACCCAACACGATTAGAACCAAATATATTTTGGACCTGATCAATCAACAATTGGGTCTTGGATAGTGGAGAGTATTTCCCATGAAGAGATGAAAAGAAAACTTGCCAACTGTTAAACATGGGGTTGGAAATATTCTGC